ACAAAAAAAAAAAAAAAAAAAACTCACTGTTCCCAAAGTCTGCTGAGCCTCTCTTAGGAAGGCAAGGGGGTCCCCATGGGTTGGGATCGTGGGGACACAAGGAAGGACAAGCCCCCAGCCAGGATTCCCCCCAGGAGTTTCCGAGTCTGCAGCCACCTGGAGCAGTAGTCCTAGGTCCCCCACAAGTCTCCCTAGGAGCCCTCAGCCCAGCCCCAAGCCCCACATCGGGTCTACTGCCCTGGCTCACCCAGGTCAATGTCGGTGAAGCCCTCAGCGGTGATGGCATCAGCCGTGTTCTTGTCGATGCTCTCCAGGCACAGGCTGGCCAGCTGTGGCTCATCAAACAGGCGTGCCTGGTGACACAAGGACTGGGCTCAGGATGGTGGTGCTTGGCCACCCTGGGCCCTGCTCCACACCCACCACAGCTGGGCATGGTGACACACACCTGTTGTCCCATCTACATGAGGTTGAGGCAAGATACCAGTGGAGCCCAGGGGCTTGGGGCCAACCTGGGCCACACATCGAGGTGCCATCTCAAGGAAAAAACACTAAAATTGCCAGGCCTGTCACCCCAGCTACTAGGGAAGCTGGAGTAAAAGGAGTACAAGTTCTAAACCAGGCTCGGCAGCTGAGCAAGGCCTTGTCTCAAGAACAAAACAGCATGAGTTCAAGTGGAGCCCCAGAGCTCTGACCCAAGGCCTCCCAAGCGTTGGCCCTGGGCAGCCAGTTCGCTGTAGCCACAGGTCAGGCACCACACCCCCTGGGGCAGAAGCCACCTGGACAGCCTTCAACCCCAGAGGGACCCTGGCTGTCTGTGAGACCAGAAGCTCAAGGCTCCCGCAGCTGCCTGCCCACTGTACCTCTTCCTAGTCTGCACAGCCACACCAGTCCCACCAGCCCATCAGACCCCAAAAGCCCAAACCTGTGTGCCCCATGACCCCGGCACCTCCCTGCCAACCCGCCGCTTCCCTGTGACGAGACACAGCCACTGAGCCAAGCCAGGTGTGGTGGTGCCTGCCTGTCAGCCCAGCACTCTGGGAGGCTGAGGCAGGAGGATGGCAAGTTCCAGCCCAGCTTGCACATCTTAGCGAGACCCTGTCTCAAAATAAAAAATAAAAAGGGCTGGGATGTAGCTCAGTGGAAAGGCCCTGGGCTCCATCCCCAGTACTAAAGAAAAAAACAAGTCTTTGGGGAACAAGATACTCAATCTGACCTCAGGGCAGGACCCCTGGCCACCTGCCCACCCGGATCCCAGCCTGGCTGCACCCTGTCCCCACATCCCCTGCCACCTGTGTAAGCAGCATGAAAGCGTTGTCGGCCCGCAGGTTCTTCTTCAGGAACTCCACACAGTGGGCCTCAAGCGCAGGCACCGCATACTTCTTGGCAGTGTACAGTGTGGTCATGACGGTCTCAGGCCCAATCTGCACCTCATCCGAGTACAGGAACCTGAGGTGTGTGGGGGCTGTGAGGATATCAGACCCGGCTGTGCCCACCCCGCAAAGCTGGCGGAATCCAGCTGCCCCACTGCATGGGTCGGAAGGATCCCTGAGGAACCATCCAGAATCACCACCCATGGGTGCTCTCAGAATTGGGGACACAACCCAGAAGGTTAAACCCAGGTCCAGCTGAGCCCTGACCAAGCACACTCTGAAACATGTCTACCCAGCATGGTTCAGCCTATGTGCAAGGGAGCTGGCAGAGGACATGTGGCTCCTCCCTGTGGTCTCCTTCCTCTCCCCAGAGCTCAAGCCCCACTGCAAACCTTGTGACTCAAGATCCCAAACATCAAACTGAATCACAGGTATGTGTGGATGACCATGACCTACCCACAGCTCACTGAACATGGACCACACTGGGGTCAATTAAAAAAGAAAAAAGCAAACCAGGTGTAATGGTATACACCTGTTATCCTAGTACTCTGGGAGGCTGAGGCAGGAGGATCTGAAGTTTGAGCCCAACCCAGGCAACTTAGTGAGAACTTGTCTCAAAATTAAAAAAATATAAGGGCCAGGTACTAGACACAGTGGTGCACACCTGTGATTCCAGCACTTGGGAGGCTGAGGCAGGAGTATCAGTGAGTTTTGAGGCCAGCCTGAACTATATAGCAAGATCCTGTCTCAAAAAATGGAAAAAAGGCTGGGGATTTAGCTCAGTGGGTTGGTGGGCTGCCTCGCAAGTGCAAGGATCCAAGTTCGATTCCCGGTACCAAAGGAAAAAAAAAAAATGGAAAAAAAAAAAGTGACACACTAGAATTATTCTTGAGGTGTTGCCTGGAGCCAGGCCCTCCTCAAGGTGGTTCTGGAGCTCTCTTTGGAGAAGGTGCAAGACTGTGGGCGTCCCTTGTCCCCACCCCACCAGGCCCCAGAGGCTCACTTGAGCAGAGCCAGAAAGGCTGCGGGCTCCACATCGGGCAGCTCGATCTCCGTGGACGTGGTGGCCATGCCACCATTGAACATGGCATCGAAGACGGCGCTACCCACGGCCAGCACAAACCTGGGGCAGAGACAGGGCACTTGTCAGCCTGGCTGGTGGTACGAGCTGTGACCCCCACCGGGGACCTCAGCCAGTCAGGCAGATTCCAGGCCAGAACACAGCAGGGACAGCTGCCCCCCGGAAGGCCAGCCAGGGTGGGAGCAGCACTGCCTGATGGGCAGCAGTGAGGCCTAGCAACCCCAAGTCCATCCTTTGCTCTGTGCTCACGCCCCGTCCCTGTCCTTCCTGCCCTGGCCTAGCTGTTGTGCAGCAGACATGATCCCTGAGGGCCGGGCCGCCTAAGCTGGGCCAAGAGCTCGCAGCCCCTTTGGGACCATGAGGCCTTGAGCAGTTCCCATGTCCCCATCCTCCCCTACATCCCTAGCCACAGCAACCTGTGCCCCAACTGCTCAAGGTTGTGCAGCCGGCTCCCAGCCCACGCAGTCCCTGCCGACGTGTGCTTTCCAGAAATAAAGCGCCTCTGCAGTGCCTTTTCTTGCTTGTTTTAAAAAGCATCTTGGTCCCCTGCAGGGAAATCTCTTGAGGACAATTCAACAGCTGAAAGTGGAAAGCAGAGGCACCCAGCTGCGCTACATGTGGGCGGGGGCCCCGAGCCACCAAAGGAGGACAGTCAAGGACATGGGTCACGCACAGCGATGCCATCCCGGCCCAGGGCAGCTCAGGTGGCTCTGCCAGCAGCAGGGTGGGGCTCCAGGCAGCCTCCCCTCCAGAGGTCCACATGCCCAGCAGCACCTCTGCCTCCCCCACAGGGCTCAGTGCCTCTTCCCCTCAGGCACAAATGACCACGATGTCTGCATGGGCCACAGACACCCATGTTCGGGGCAGCCCAGTGTCGTGGATGAACAGAGGGACATTGAGGTCCAGCCACACACGGGGACAGCACTCAGGCGGGACAGGAGCGAGGCTGTAACACCCACCACAGCGTGGGCGGACCCTGAGGTCACTGCTCAGTGAGAGACACCAGACATAAGAGGACATGGTGTGGTGGGCTCCACGGACAGGAAACACCCAGGACAGGCGACTCCAGAGACAGGAAGTGGACTTGGAAGTGTGGGGCTGAGGAGCGGGCAGTGTTTCATGAAGACAGAGGCTCAGTTTAGGAAGATAAAGAAGTACTGGAGATAGAGGGTGGGGACAACTGCATGCTGCTTTGTGAGTGTGTTAAATGCCACCGAGCTGTGTGCTGAAATGGTTATGATGGTAAAAACAAATTTTTTTTTTTTTTT